GTCAGTGAAACAACAGCTCTGTGGAGAGCCAACATGGGGGGCGGGCTCCTTTTTGCAGATGAAATTCATTTAATTTGCATTATTTTTTAAACTGTGCCACAGGGTTTTAATTGTGTCGCTGAGTTTGTTTCCTTTTGTTGGTGAGAGTTTTTATTAAAATTCAGTGTAATTTGTGAAGCAATAGCTGTGAACGTGTCGACATGTGTGTGTGTGTGGTGGAGGAATGGGGGGATGACAAAACTATATTTACTGAAGTGGGGTGCTGCAGAAAGGTTTAGAAACCACAGCTTTGGTCTGGCTGTGATAATTGATGCGCTGTGATTAACGCAGGATTAAAGCGGCGGAAAGTAAAAACCAAAAGTTGAGTTATTTTAGAGGAGTTTAACTGTGAAAAAGGAAACGTGATGTGACGTGGATTTGGGCTGAAAATGTGTTTATTCCTCAGGTTAAAGTCAGAAATAGGTCAAAACAATGAAGGTCTTCTTTATAGTCCTGTGTTTTTGTTGCAGCCGAGCAGTGATTTAAAAACCTGATGATGAGAAGAGTTTCTGGAGGGCGTAAACACTGCCATCATGACATGGTTCAAGCCTTTCAGAACTTTCAGACTCGTTTTGTAGTTTAGAAAGTCTTCTCTTCGTGTGAAGATATTACCTCTGACTCTGAGTGCCTTCTCAAGGTCCTCCTCAGTCTGAGTAAAACCATTTAAAAAAATGATGTCTCTGTGAAACTTCTTGGGGCTAAATTGTTCCAAAGTTTCATTTTCTGCACAGTTTGAGTCTCACTGAGCTTCAGAAGTCAGAGTCAACAATTTGGAACCTGAACGTCTCACTGAGCTCATTGGACAAGTGTGTTTGTGTTTGTGTTTTTCCAAAATGATGCATAAAACATTAGGAACATGAAACGATGCTGGAAACCTGAGTGTTTTTAAGATTTAAACAAAGAACAAACGTCGACACATTAACAGACGATCTGTCACAGACAAACGACCGGAGATCAGCAGGGAAGCAGAGAAATGAAGGAAGGAAGGACGGAATGAAGGAAGGAAGGACGGAATGAAGGAAGGAAGGACGGAATGAAGGAAGGAAGGAAGAAATGAAGGAAGGAGGGAAGAAATGAAGGAAGAAAGGAAAAAATGAAGGAAGGAAGGACGGAATGAAGGAAGGAAGGAAGAAAGGAAGAAGTGAACGAAGGAACGAAGGAAGGAGAGGAAGGAAGGAAGGAGAGAAATGAAGGAAGGAAGGAAGGAAGAAAGGAAGGATGGAGAGTCACTGAGGTCACTGGATTACAGCAGAATATTGAACACAGATTGGATTAGACTAGACCTGCTAACATTTCTCTTGCTAACATTTCTCCTGGTCCATGTTGTATTTTTTGGCCTCACTATTAAAACAATTTTATGATTATTACTTGACATATTGCTTTTCAAATGAAAACAACTCCACCATCCATCTTAATGTGTCACAGAGTGAAACGAGTGTTTTAGCTGCTGCGATAAAGAAAAAAACAGGTTCTAAAGTCTTTAGTTTTAGAGTTTAAAAATCCCACGCTTGATTTCACTTTTCTTTTCTTTTTTTTTTACAAATGAAAACAATTGACTGAGATTTCATTCAGCATGTAACGCTAAATGAAAGGCTGGTTGTCAGTCAGCTGCTAACGTGCCGTCAGGGTGTGAAGCTGCCTGTCAGATGTGTTTGTTGGCAGCAGCGTTTCAGAGCAGCTTCAAGTGGTTATCACAGCGAAAACTCAGAGTTTTTTATTAATGTTCATCAGTGATGACATCACTCTGGGCCACAGGATATTCATTTTGATGCCTACGGTTTGTTCCATTTATTTTATGAAATATTTATCTAGCGTTAATTAGCTGCCTGCTCTGCACCGACCAATCATGACGTTCTAACAACAACAACATTAGGAACGAACAGTTTGGCATTTCCTCAGGGCAGAAACAAGTCCATCAATGTGTCCAGATATGACCTATGACCTCAGAGTTTCTCATCTTTCTGTCCACAAACCTGCACTGGATGGAACGTTTGGGACAAAGAAAAATCACTACTTTTTTTAACAAACGACCTTCTCTCTGGCATAATATTTGTGAAGAACAAATAAATTATTTGCGATGAGTTTGCACTTGGTCGTAAATCATACGACAGCAATAATCCTTGTTAAACATTTGTTTGATTGACAGCCCTAATTTATTTTCTCCCATTAAACAATTATTGTAAATAATTTGCGCTCGCTCTGATCTGAAAATGTCGTCACATTTCCTGGTCGACCGATTCCCTTTCCTGTAAACGACAGGGCAGCCATTGTGTCTGAAAAAAAAAAGGTACACACACGGTAATGTTTGGTTGCAGCTCCCCCCTCATCACCCTTTCCTTCCTTTCCTCCCCCACAGAGCTCCTGTCAGCCTGCCACGAGCTCCGCTGCCGCTACGGCTGCGTCATGACAAGAAACGGCACCTTCTGTTTCTGCGCTGACGGCTTTGAGGTCGGCGAGGACGGGACAAGCTGCAGAGGTATAGGAAGGACCCCCCCCCCCCACACACACACACACACACACCCACATACTGTATGCATTACACTCCTCTTACATAGATGTGTTTCATAAGCAGCCTGTCTTTTTTTCTCCTTTTCACAAACGCCGCTGCCTTATTACGCCTCAGGTCTTCAGTCAGTCGACCGACCAGTAAGAAAAATATGGTTTGGCCCTCGGAGGTGCCATTAGAGTTGCCTGTTACTGGGGCTGTACACACTCCTTATGCCCATACTGTGGCGTCAGATTTGCACAGTTTGAGGTGATGTGAAAGGCTTCACTAAAGGAGCAGTGATTCCTGAACGGGGACACGAGGAAGTGTCGTTTATGGGGTGTTGCGGCTCCAAAAAAGGCTCATTGATTATGGAAGTAATTACGCCTGAGGTTCCAGAGTGAGGCCGCATTAAGTATACTTTATGTATTTGGGTCATGTTTGAGCACACCTAATTTGTTACAAATGACTCCTTTCCTTTTTCCATAAGATCATGATGAATGTGCCATATACGGCTCATGCAGCCAAACCTGCACCAACACCTACGGGTCGTACAGATGCAGCTGCACAGAGGGATACGTCCTGCAGCCCGACAGGATATCCTGCAGAGCCAGACAAGGTGAGCGGCACGCCGGCGTCCGGAAGCAGCCCGTTCTGCGTAGCATGTGTTTTTCATTTCTAATAATAAACAGAGTAATTTTCCTTCGACCAGAGATGGATTTTCAGCCCATCATTTCTACGGTGGCCGCTGCTGTTGGCTTGGCCAAGATTAATGTGGTTCGGCAGTGACCACATCTATCACCCACATGGGAGCGGGTAGACGTGGTCGGGCCAGGATAATGATAAAATTAATGAGCGGGAGACTTTAAGTGGGAACAGTCTGGAGTATTTTGTGCGGAGACAATGCCCAGCGTCGCCCTGATTTATGTTAATGCCTGCTGCTGGTTACAATTCTGTCCCCGTGAGTAAAACAGCCCACTTAAAAAGGAAGGAGCCAAAAGAGCTATTGTTTTTGGTGGTCCGGCATCAACAAACACCGGCCAATCCCTGTGTACTATACATTTATATATTTATATATATGTATATATTTGTGTCACCCCTTGGACAAAATCAAATTACTTTTTTTTTTTTTTAATGTGTTTTTCTTTATTTATTTGCAGTTGTTTTGACTCAGGTGAACACACTCTGGTGATTGGTGCAGCCCCAAAACACCTAAGAGGGGAGACCAGCGCTGTTGGTGCTTTTAATCAACGTGACTCGTGTCCTACCAGGAATAAACTGAATATGATTACCCATAAACTTAACTGAACCCAATGCTCACTCGCATTAATATTAATTTAGCACAGAGCAGTGGTGGTGCGGGGATAAATGTAAGGTTACTGCAGGTTGTAAAGGCTGATGAATACAAATGTTAGGGTAGCAGCAGATTAAGAAGAGCGGGCGAGGTACGCAAACTGTTGACAAGGATGTTGACGGAGTGATTGATACACACACACTGATCAAACACACACACACACACAGTTGTTACATGTATCCTAAACGGACAGTGAGTACTCTGTACTCCCTCAGACATTTGAACAGCCTGTGTGTAGATTTCTTCATCATAGAATTATTAAAGTGTCAGATTCAGGAGTTGACAGCAGTAATTAAACCCTCTACTGGAAATACATTTAAATTACACCCTTTTTATTTGACACCATTGAATATTAAAATATTAAAATATTAAATATAATATATTATAAAATAAAATAATAATATTGTCCAGTCCTGTGTTGTCTAGTCCAGTCCAGTCTGGTCTAATCTGGTCTTGTCTAGTCTAATATTTTATCTTATTATTGTTTGAGTCTGAACTGAAAGAATAAAAAAAAAAAAATCATTATTTTTTGCTCCAGTTTAAAATCAATATTAAATGATGGGTTTTATTGACGTTTGAATTTTCTCTTCTCTGTTGAGGATCAGTGTGTTTGACAGTCAAGATGAACGTATGTCAACGTCTTTTTTTTTTTTAAACCTTTCCTTTAAAAATAATAATAACAATAATAATAACCTGGTTTCATTTAGATTTTTCTGTCCATGTCATCTTGTTCTCTGTAACTACTCTTCTTTTTCTACTCTTCTTCTGTGGCCCTGACGTCCAGCCCGTGTGGACAGTATCAAGGACTGTGGTCAGAACTGCTCTCTGCCTTTGTGTGAGATAAAACTACATCTCTCTTAAATGTCCATTTAAAGGTTTTGGAGAAGCAATTATGTGACCACCCGTAGCCGAGGGTAGCCCTCGACTGAATGAGCGCGGACGTCCGTGATAAGTAAAGGTCCATTTAAAAGACGGAGTCTGAGGTCAGACAGAGGGCGCGGTCACTTAAGCCTTTCAGGCAGCGCTTCTTGGTTTTACCGCCGTGGTCCTTCCAGACCCCTGGGCAGCAGCGCATTAAAAAACAGTTCAGAGTGGAACTACAGACCGAGTCGATGTCGTTGGTTCTGATGTGAGCAGAAATAGATTGTTTTGGAGGAAATGGTTTTGGTGTTTTCATCTACGCTGGAGTCAAATTACAGCCCATCTCTCTGACTGTGAGTCTGTGGTGTCTGTCGTCCGCCCCTCACGGTGAAGGACTCTTTCATCGAAGCTTCAATAACTCTCTCTCCCTCCCTTTATTTCTTGTGTGTTGGCTGTTAAAAATATTTCGTTTTTTAGTTGGTTTTTTTTTGGTTTTAGTGTTTCACCTGTGGAAACTTGTGGTATGCGACGTAAAGAACCAAAAATGTTCCCTGTTCTTCCACTGCAGATCCCGGCGACGGCCGTCCGGTGCTGCTGAGTGGAGGCTCCAATCGAATATCCGTCACCAATCTAAATGGAACGAGCCTCAAACCCCTGAGGTCCTCCAGTGCAAATGGAACCGTGGCACTGGATTTCCAGCACAAGCAGGAGTCCGTGTGCTGGGTCCTGTCTTCGGAATCCTCTGGGCAACTGCGTTGTGCTGAAGCAAGAAATCTGCGTGGATTCACACGGGAACAGGAAATAAGAACACAACAAAACCTGCAGCGTAGGTGTCCAGCTGTGTGTTTGTCTCTGTTGTCTCGGCTCCGTCCTCATGTCTTTGTTTCATATCCAGACCTCTGTCACAGCGACCCACTGCTTTCTTACTCCATCCCTCCTTTGCCTCACCCTTCACCCTGAGACGCCGTCTCTCGGTCTCTTATCTCTGCAGCTGAGGACAGGTTGGACTCCAGGGTTGGTGTCACACGCCCTCCTTTCAAAGCTGTCCTTCAACAATGTCGTTTCCACACCGTTAAATTGACTCTTTTTGTTTTTCCTGGTAAATTCCACGTTTGTCACTGGTTCTTAGCTGCGTGTGAGGAGTCACGGTCTTTTTTTTTCTCTCTCTCTGCGGCGCCACCTCAGGATAAACGAGTTTACTGCAGTGAACCAATAAATACTCATCAGGAATACATTTTTGCTTGTTATGGCTTTGTAGGAACATCCCCAGTGCATAGTTGTTTTTAAAATGATCAACCTGATTGTGTCGTATGAAATTTAGATTTTTTTTTTTTCGTTTTATGCAAAGTTAGAAACCAGGTGTTAGAAAATGTGTGGTGAACTGTATTTGATTTATCGGCTGTGGAACCATTAAAAAAAAAAAAATCAAACGAAACACTTTGTATCATGATTAATCATGATCATAATTCATCACAGTTAATCAGGATTAGTTGTGATTATTTCAGATTAATCCTTAATTAATCTTGAACATGGTCAAAAGCCTTTTTTCTGTGTATTATTGAAACAGAAAGACGGTAAACGCTGGTAGATGAGTTTACCTGTTTTTATGGTTGACTCCAGTCATCAGTTAATCGTAGACTGACATAGACCTAGACTGACATAGACTGACAGACATAGACTGACATAGACCTAGACTGACATAGACTGACAGACATAGACTGACATAGACCTAGACTGACATAGACTGACAGACATAGACTGACATCGACCTAGACTGACATAGACTGACAGACCTAGACTGACATAGACTGACAGACATAGACTGACATAGACATAGACTGACATCGACATAGACTGACATAGACTGTACATGCTTTAACATGTGGTCAAATTGTAATCTGATTACTTTCAGTAATCGGTGCCAGTTTTGCGTTAACCCCGTTGCCTCCTGTCGTCCTCCTGCAGACGTGGAACACATGGCCATCGATTGGCTAACTGGAAATTTTTATTTTGTCGACCGGACGGCGGAGAAGATCTTTGTCTGTGACCGGGACGGGACCACGTGCGTCACTGTGGTTCAGCTGGACCTGGTCAACCCTAAAGGACTGGCTCTGGACCCTCTGATGGGGTGAGTCCGTACACGTCTCTCTGTCTCTGCAGAGCCCGTCTGCAAAGTTTAATTTATCATCAAGCATCCTTTGTTAAGAAAGAGGGGGAAAATCATGGAGGAAGGAGGAAAAAAAATCACTATGCATAACAATTGACTTGTCTGGAAGAATATGAGTGAGTTACAATGAAGGGATTTAAATGATTCCCTGTCCTTCGACTCAGCCCTTTCTCTCTCTGAGCTGTGTAATTTGGTGGATGTCTGTTGACAGCCTCTGCTGTCTAGACCTTCATTTGTATTCACTGATTTCACTCCACATCCCTCAGTAGAAGATTTCTCCTGCAGGACTTTTATTACTGGATTTTTTTTGTCTGCAGAGATCAGACGGAAACTTAGCAACTCTGAAGTTAAGGAGTGTATTCAGTTACACTTAGTCGGATCTGAGGCCTTAATATTGATGTGACACAGTTCAGCTGTGGCTCCAAATCTGTGTTAGCAGCGCCCCCTAGCCCGCCTTTCCTTAGACATGACCACTAACATCCGTACATTTACTGTTTTTGATGCAGAATTATATAAAACTCTTTAAATATATATATATTTCAAAAATACATAACAGCCCAATTTACCAGTTGTAGCACAAATTTACACCCCCCCCCAACCCCCTCCCTGACTTAACTGACCGAACTACAATGTTTTGGTAGATCAAAAACCAGATTCAATCAAATTCTCAGAAAAATGTATTTCTTTTTGAAGTTTTAAAGATTCTGTCTTTGGAACCAGGTCTTGTTCTTCATTTCGGACCGATTTCAGATGGAGCTCGTTCAAAACACATTCAAAAGTTATCATCATTTTAACAGGGTTTCATTCAAGTTTGGTTGAAAATTTAGATTTTTGCTATGATTTGAAAAAGTTTGAAACTGAAACACAGCTGGACTTCAAAGCTGTTGGAGTTCCTCAGAGACACAGACGAACATGTGTGTGGAGGACAGTTAATAGTCAGATCTTTTCAAATTCTATCAACTGTCTTGGAAAGTTTTCTCTCGTATTGAGACAGCAGGGGCTGCTGCGGGGCCAAAGCCGACTCCTAACTGCATGTAAACAGAGCTCACACACACACACACACACACACATCAGTGTTCACTGCAGCTCTGCTCCAGTCACAGTCCTGTTAGCTCAAATAATTGAACAAAACTTCAGACTTTAATGAGGAAAAACAAACACTTGAAAGAAACTCTGGTCATTTTTCATTTACAGTGTTTTGTTAGCTGTGTGTGTGTGTGTGTGTGTGTGTGTATGTGTATGTGTATGGTCTTCATAAACTAACACACCACATACACTCGTGATGAGGTTCAAAGTAGGGTCTGCGTCCAGACAAGGTTTTATTTCCTTTTTCTTTTCCACTAACTGCTGGGTCACATGGTGTCAGACGGAATGAAAACCAGAATTGATCTAATGGAACATAATAATGGGGTAATTGGTGCAGAGATAATGTTGTGTAAAAAGATTTTGTTGAAAAAGGGATTGAACTAATCATGGTGAAACATTAGTGGTTTTTGAAACTTGACCACTTGGTTCCAGGGTCGACTGTTTTTTAACAATATAAAAAAACAATAGAATATACTGCTGGTCTCAGTCTTTCAGTGTTGCTAGTATTTCAACCTTGGGGTCGCAACCCCACAGGGGTCATCTAGGGTTCAAGTGGGTTTTCCTAAAAATTTTAATAATTAATAGGACAGATAAAAACCCTTTTTAAACTAATTATTGTTGTTTTTAAAAATCACATGATCAAAAATGAATTCTAGAGGAAAAAAAGGCCCCTGGTCAAAATGGGTTCAGTGCCAAAAAAGGGTTGGGAACCACAGATTTAGTACTTCCTAGTATTTGATATTTGGTATTAGGAGGCAGCCATCAGTTTACTGAACATTTATTTAAATCCGTATAAACATAAAGATGAGACTAAATTGCAGTGGAAAGGTAACATTTAAACATGGCTGAGGAAAAAGACATTTTTCTAAATACCAATTTTAAAAAAAGCCATTTTCTAAATGCCTCAGCCTGGAGGCCGTTGTATTGAAGCAGCATTTTCTATTTTCTTTGTGCTAATGTTCGGAGCGTTTAGATGCCAGCTAAAGAGGAGCTCAGGGTATGTGATTAGACATTTGAAAGAAAGACAACGTGCAACTCACGGAGGAGCCAAAGCATTTAGTAACTCCAAACCCACGAGGAGGGCCGGCGAGTCGATTCTGAAAGACGCAGGAAGCGCTGTGATCCATGGAAGGCAGGTGTTGTAAGCCGTCCAATTTGTACCTTCCCACAGTGTCTGAACGTCAGACAAAAACACAAATGTCCTTTAACTAACTCAGCCGCCTCCTGCACTGCA